ACCAAACAGGTGGGATAAATAAAAAAAATAGCAGGATTATAGATTTCAACCAAAGTATATCAATAATCGTGTTAAATAGAAATGGCTTAAATACTTTTATTAATGTCAGGGATTGTCAGATTGAAAAAAAAGCAAGACTCAAGTACATATTATGTATAAAAAATGCACTTCAGTTATACAAACACAAATATACTGAAAGCTAAAAGATAGAGAAAACAAAGCTGATTAAAATCAGTCAGGTAGATGTCAGAGCAAAGAATGTTAGCATGGATAAAGATGGTCATTAGATAATGATAAAAGGAACAGTTCATCAAGAGTTTATGACAGTCTTAAACATCTATGAACTTAATAATAGCTTCTAAATACATAAACCAAAAAGTGATAAAATATCAAGGAAAAATACATTTATAAAATTACAGTTGGAGATTTCAGTACTATAAATAATTCACAAAATAAATAGGACATCAGTTGAAGAACTCACAATGGAAATTCAAACATTTTTGAAATGAAGGTATAGATATGAATGAGATATTAAACTACATAAGGAGCCATATTAGTCCTGGGGAAAGTGAATAGCATTAAACCCTTTATTAAAAAGTAACATCAATTTTTCAACTGGGAATACTTTTTTAAAAGAGCACATTTAAACCAAAATACAAGAAAGAAAATAAAGATCGTAATAGAAATCAAATGAAATAGAAAAATAGTAGTGAAAATTGATAAATGCAAAAGCTAGTTTTTTGATAAGTTTAATAAAACTGATAAATCTCTGGTCATACTTAATCAGGAAATAGAGATTTTAACAATATTAAAAAGATAACAAAAATTGTGACAACTTTATGCCAACAAATTCTACAATTTTAATAAAGTGGACAAATTCTTCAAAGTACATGTATCACTCAAGAGAGCTTTCTCACTCATGAAGAATTAGCTATGAATGGCTTTAAATATATTAAAGAAATTTGAATTGGCAGTAGAAAAACCTCTTCACAAAGAAAATTCTTGAACAGATGGCTTCACTGTTAAAAGAAACCAAACTGTTAAGGAAAAAATAATACCAATTATAGATACACTCTTCCATAAAATTAAAATGGATGGAATTCTTTTATAAGGCCATTACCCTGATAAGGAAACCACTGACATAGAACAAGAAAACTACAGACCAGTTTTTTTTTTTTTTTTTTTTTTATGAATATAGGTGCAAATGTTCTATACAAAATTCTACTAAATTGAACCCAACAGTATTTTTTTCTTAGAATTATTTAATTTTTTTATTATTCATATTATTATTTTAATTAACTATAGGGCATATGCACTCACCAGAGAGGGAGGTGGTGAGTGAGAAACCAAGCCACCAGGTCTGGGACTCAAACCATGGTTGGCCATGTGGCAGTCCAGTATCTTAACCACCATGCCACCTGCTGTCCCCAACAATATTTTTTAAAGATAATTTATCATGGCTAAGTTTGGTTTATCTCAGAAGTGCAGTATTTAGTTAATGGTAAAAAAAAAAAAAAATCAATCTATTCACCATTATACCTCACCAAAAAGGAAAATCCATGTTATTATCTCAGTGGCACAAAATGCTTGATAAAATTCAACATCCTTTCCTGATTAATAAAAAAAATTAAAATAAAAATGCATAGTAGAACATGGAGATCTGAAAAAACTACAGCTAAACATCATCCTTAACGGTAAGTAAAAAATATTTTTTCCATAAGAGCTAGAATAAGATAAAGATTTTTACTGAGCATTGAATTAGATTCTATCTAATCAGTAAAGCAAGAAAAAAAAAACACAATAAATGGCATCTAGAGAAGAAAGGAAAAAGTAAAACTATTCACAATTGACATTGATTATTCCATGGAATTCAAAGAAGCTACTAGAACTCAGCAAGGTTGCATGACATAAGATTAATATACAGAAATCAATTAGAAATAGATTTTAAAACTGCCTTTTACAATAGCCTCGAAATATAAATATTGCATATGTAAGCATTTGTATTTATAAATTGGATTAAAAAGTGTATGAAAACCGCTATTGAAATGACAAATTGAGAGAAAATAAAGAAGACATAAGTTAAGTAGGAAAATATGCCATGTTCATTGGTAGAGAAACTCAGTAGTGTTCACATTTCAATTTTCCCAATTAATGTATAGATTCAGTGCAATCCTGATCAAAATCCTCATGGACGCTTTGGTAGAAATGGGTAAACTTATTCTAAAATTTGCATGGAAATTCAGAGGATCCGTTCTAGCTCAAACAATTTTGGAAAAAAAAAAGTGTTGGAACAGACTTCAAAATTTAATATAAAGCTACAATAATCAAGACAGGTGGTAGTGATAACAGGATTATCAATAAAATGTAATAGAGGGTCCCTAACTAGGCCCAAATTTGTAAATTACTGATTTTCAACCAACATGCAAAAGATAGACTTTTCAGCAAATGATGTTGCAGCAGTATACAAAAGAAAAATAATTTCAGATCACATACTATATAAAAACAATGAACTCAAAAGAGATCATAACTCTAAATGGAAAACCTAAAACTAGAAAACATCTAGAAGAAAAAAAAATTAAGAAAATCTTTGTGGCCTTGTCATAGGAAAAGTTTTCTTTAACATTAACTCCAAAAGAAAGATCTAAGAAAGAAAATATCTATTGATTTCAACAAAATCAAAAACTTTAGTTCTTCCCAAGTTACTAGTAAGAGAATAGAAAACAAGCCATATCATATTGAGAGAAAATATTTGCAAGTCTTACATCTAATAAAGGATTTATACCCAGAATAAACTCCATAATAAAAATTGTAATAAATTTTTAAAATTTTTCTAATTTAAAGCAATTATTTTTAAATGGGCTAAATATTTGAACACTACCAATGAAGATATCTGGATAGCAAATAAGTCTGGAAAGACGATAAATAGCAGCCCTCTTTGAATGCACAAATTAAAACCACAATGTATCATTATACCCCTATTACAATTACTAAAATTAAAAAGATTAGTCATACTGAATTGAGGATTTAGATGTAGAATTTTTCTATACTCCTGGTGATAATGTAAAACTGTAGAAACTGCTTTTGAAAATAGTTCAGGAGTTCCTCTAAAGATTAACATTTACCATACAAGGGAACTTCAAAAAGTTTGTTTAAAAAAAAAAAGAAAAATTAAAGTGCAAATTTATTTCAATGTAAAAAATTGAAATCTATGCATAGTTTTTCATAATACATATTTTCCATGAGCTTTTTGAAGACCCCCTCCACGATCCAGCCACCCCTCTCCTGGATATTTACTGAAGGTAAATGAAAGCATGTCTATTTCAAAGTCTTGAACAGGAACACTTACAGCAGCTTGAGTTTGTAATCACCCAAAACTATAAACAACCTAATGTCTGTAAACAGTTGTATAGGTAAACCAATAGCAATTGATACAGTGGGATACCATTCCACAATTTTAAAAGAAGGAATAAATTGTTAATACTTGCAAATAGAGAAATAAAAGGTTATGATAAATCTCAAAATAATTGTGCTGAGTGAAAGAAGCTAGGCAAAGTAATAGTGAATTCTGTATTACTCTATTTATATAAAATTCTAGGAAATACAAGCTATGGTAATAAAAATCATATCAATTTTCTAAAAAAAAAAATGCAAGGAAGGATTATAAAGAGGCAAAAGGAAAACTTGGGGAGTTTTGGGACTATTCATTAACTTGATCAAAAAAAACAGTTTTACCAGTATATAGTTATGTCAATACTTATAAAAGGGAACACTTTAAATATGCTTTTATGTCAGTTATACTTCAGTAAAACTGTCTTTAAAAAAAATAAAAAGACAAAAACAAAGGGGGGAAAAAAAATCTTTTTCCAGGTAATAGAACATTATGTTTCCCTTTTCCTAATATATATTCCAGATTATTACGTACCCAGTTTACCCATGTACAACAATGTGGCACTAAGGTATTGACTCATATCTTTTTAAATAGTAGCTATTGCCATCTGATAAGGGTAACAAATTTTATGTAATTTTACAACTCCTTTCCTTATTCTGTCTTCTTTCTATAGTTTTAATATGCAGCAAATTATGCAATGTTGTTTATGCCTTTAGTTGTAGTATTTCCCATGGTAATTGCCTAAAGTTAATATATATAGTTTCTTTCAAAACAAGGATTAACTTTTACAGAACAAAAGGGGTATTAAATTACTTATTTTTCAGGTTTGTTTTATTTATGATAGCACTTGTATTCATACTTGGTGCAGGGTGGGACGGGTCACCTTGATACAATCTCATCATCATACCAGAATTGTCTTTCTTCAGCCCTTCAGCTCCTCAGGAATTTGGGCACACGTGCAAATATCTGGCCTATTTTCAGGTCAGCTCAGGGATCTAAACCTACTATTAGCCACATGGCTTCCAGCACTTCATTTTAGTTTGCTACCGACTGTACCATCAGGCTGGAACTAAAATTGCTTTTTAAATAATTAAAGTTAATAATTTAAAAGGCCTCTTTCATGACCTTAAAAGTTTTGGCATTCATTTTGCTTGTACAAAGCAAAATGTGACTATCATTACCCTCTTTGGTATCTTTTATTTATTTCATTTCATGGTATTTCTTGTTTAAAGTTTTTATATATATATTAGCCTCTTTTTGGTAACTGTAAATGTTAAAGTGAATGTAAAAATGACTTAAGTTTTCTGTAAACTCAACTAAATTCAGTACCAATTAAATCCCTGAAAATATATACTTTGAAATTATGTATAATTTTAGACCATCAGGATTATTTTTTAATGATGACTAGAAATTCTCTGGATTTAATTATTCTAAGATTTTTGTAGAAGTTTAAGTTGAATGAGTCTGCAGGCTTCATAATTTAGAAATGTGCATAATCAAAGCAGGAATTATATAGAAATGCTGCAAAATATGAAATAGTTTGGCATAAAATATGTTTATTAAGGTGGAAATAATTTTAAAATTCTTAATCTGTCCTGTTCTCTTTTTGCAGAGTGTATATAAATGTGATTTCCTGAACTTACAGCTTCAGCAACCACTGCAGCTTGCACAGGATGCTATAGATGCTTTTTTGAAGCAGCTGAAAAACCCCATTGATTCTCTTCCTGGAGAACTTTTCCATGTGGTTGTTTTTTCTCTCCTCCTTTCTTATTTCCCATCACCTTATCAGCGGTGGATTTGCTGCAAGAAAGCCCATGAACTCTTAGTGTTAAATGGCTTATTACTTATCATCACACCTGATTCCTCTCATCAGAATCGTCATGCTATGATGATGAAAAGCTGGAAGATTGCTATAGAGTCTTTGGGCTTTAAACGCTTCAAGTATTCAAAATTTTCACATATGCATCTGATGGCGTTTAGGAAAATCTCCCTAAAAACTACAAGTGACTTGGTCAGTAGGAACTATCCAGGGATGTTATATATTCCTCAAGATTTCAACAGTATAGAAGATGAGGAATATTCTAATCCTTCCTGCTATGTTCGATCAGATATAGAAGATGAACAACTAGCATATGGTTTCACAGAGCTCCCTGATGCTCCTTATGACTCAGATTCTGGAGAAAGTCAAACCAGCTCTATTCCTTTCTATGAGCTAGAGGATCCCATATTACTTTTAAGTTAGTATTAAAGCAAAAGGCCCTTTCAGTCCAGACTCCTAAACTAGTTGCTTACACTAATCAGAAATATTAACATGAACTCAGTACTTAAAACCTGATTTGCATAGAAGAAATGCAAAGGTTTACAGAGTTTGCTATTTTTTTCTACTTCTGAATTTTAAAATTTATTCTTATATAGAAAGCTTAAAGTTTCATGCAGAGTGACTCCTGTCATAGCAGAAACCACTGTTTAGCATTTAGCACTAAGATATCATAGAAAGGTACCTTTTTCTCTTTAGTGCTATTGTGAAAAATGAAGCATAATTTACTATATATTTTCCTTTTCTTCAACTTTTCAATGTTGACTTTAAACCATTACAATGGGAAACTTTAAAATATGTAGAAAGCTGTAGATTGCACTTTGATGACTCACAACTTAATTAAATGTGACAGAGATAGATTGGCTTAGTTGTTTTGTAATGCACTTATCTTTTACTTTTTTCATCTAAATTGTATCTGTTACAGAAAGCCCTTTCCTGTTCGCTTTTGTCTGATGACCCAGTATTTCCCAGCCTTTTAGGAATTGGTGATAAATCTTCATTCTCATTTGACAGCATCAGACATTGGGAGAGAGATTGGCCCCAATTTACGTATTTTAATTTTTTTTAGCACAGTATGATAAACACCATTGCCAAAGTAGTATTTTCTTACCTTCCTTGTTGATTTGGGCCTTGGTGTTAAGTAGATTTATCCATGAGTTCACTTTCACTTTTATAAAATTTGGGTTTCATTTACAAAATTTCTATTTAAGCAAGGAACGATGTAATACTCAATACTGACCTAAAACACCTTTGTGAAAGGGTTTGCACTTGTAAAAGAGTTTATGTTCTTTTGAGAAAAACTTTGACAGGTCCTGCCTTTCTGTTAAGGAGGTGCTGCACTACAAGTTTGGATTATACAGAAGAATTTAAAATTAACCGTCTGCTAGTAATCTTATAAAATGATTTTGACCTTTTGGTATCCTAATTTTTTCTACATTCTAGCAGAAAATTTTCTTGGAATATATAACTGTTAGTTGGCTGTGGGAATTTTCCCTTTCCACATTGATAAATGCCTTTCTGTGTTTCTGAATCAGAAGCAAATGATAAAGGAGAAATATATGTTCAAACAAGACAAGATTAGTTTAAACAGCTAAGAGCATTTAGTCCACATTGTCTTGTCAGCCAGCAATTGTCATGTAAACTATCATTTTTAAGAGTGCCACTGTGTGGATTTTTTTTTCAAGTGGTTATTACATTAAAATTACCTCATACTGAGGTTTTTGCACTGAAATATCACAGTTTCAGATTTCATGGTTAATGTAGTGTGTATGTGTGTGTGTATGTGTTTTTTAAAGGAAACTTGGATTTTCAATAGTTAATCCTAAATTTCATAAACTGCACTTCTTTACTCTGGTAAAAAAAAAAAAAAAAAAAAAAAAAAAAAAAAAAAAAAAAAAAAAAAAAACGATGTTTTTGTGCTTATTGTGAATTGCTGTAGTTAACTTTGAATGTCGAACTTTATTTACAAATACAAAACTTATCCTTTAGATATAAATGATCGAGTGTATGTTCCCAGTATTTCAAATTAAATTTTACATGCTAAATTAATGAAAGTAACAAGACTGTAGTTAACCTAAAAAAAAAGTCTATTGACTAAATGCAATAAATGATGAATTACCCAAATACGCCAGGAGTAACTTGAAATTTTTCGTTTACTTTCAATAGCATAAGATTCCTTAATAATTAGGTTTGATGTTCCTTTCTAGTTAAGCCCTGTAGGATCATGTCTTATAGCTTCCTAAAGAGAAAAAAAAAAAAGGCACTGTGTTCAGGATAATAGGAAACTGTGTTTCCATAGTACCTCTTTTACCATACCATTTGTTTCATTGATTTGGCTAAATCCAATATTAAGAGCAAAAACAGAAAAACATCAAATGAAAGTGCATTGAAAGTAAACGAAACAGTGCTTTTGAAAGGCCGATGTGAGTATGACCTTGGAGTCAGCCTTTGTGTTACAGCTAAAATGTTGGTGCTATAAATTCTGATTGTTTACAGTTGTTGATTCTGCTTATGCTCCAAAGTGTGCATGATGTATTTTAAGTAGTACTTTAAAGAAAAATCTCTTTATAAAACCTACTACCACTTAGTATAAATTTGTTTGAATTTGTATCATTTGTCACTATAAATCCAGTTCATTTAAATTAGGTTGGCACAGAATTTAAACCAATACACAGTCCTCCAAATCCACAAATTCTGTGTATAAGTATAGAAATACAAACAGGGATTGTGGCTTGGTGTCAGATCATATATGTAAATGACAAGAGAAGTTAATAGGGCTTTCTTGTACTGTATGGGTACTCTTAAGAATGATTTCATTTGGATAATAAGTTAAGGGACCTCCTGTCACATCCACAGTAGGTTCTCCAAAATAATTTGGTGTTTCAAAAATAAATGATAATCATTTGGTTGGATTCTTCAGGATCATGGCTAGATAATGTGGCTTTTTACTATAGTTGCCAAGTGGTGGGAGGTAGTATACCTAAAAATGTATGTTTGTGTTTGTTGTATTTTTTCACATTTTGTGAACAAAGCACATTTATTAAAATTTTAAATTTTCTAATATTGTTACTTATGAAATGAAAGTTTTGTGGTCTTTAACATACCTCACTAACTGATTTCAGAATTGGGAAGCAATTTAGAATTTGAATAGCTTTTAGAGTTTTCCAACTAGGTTTCATCTAGTCATATCCCTTAATTTTATAAATTCATTCATTGAGAGCCGGAGAACTCAAGCGACTTCCTCACTATCATACACTGTCATGCTGTTTATAACAGAACAAAGACGACTGCATAAATTCTGGTTCATTATATGGCAACTATATCATACTCTATTGTCCTTGGAAGTTAATTATGTAACAGATAATTTAGTTTATCAGTTCTTTCGGAGCAACAGATGGCTTTCTCATGATATGAGAGTTTTCTTATTCACTGAACAAATGTTTGAATTCAACTATGACCAGTATGTGTAGGAACAGCAGGGTTGGGGTGATCCCAGTCCCTGTTTTCACAGAGTTTATGATCTCGTGGAGGAGACAAACGTTCTATATACATTTGTAACTAGGAATTATTACCAAAGGTTTGCCCTTCCTTTATTTCTCAGAAATATTAATAGAACAGGAGGAAAAAGAGCTTTAAGACTTAGCAAATTGCAAACACATTATGGATAAGGAAGATACTCATTCCTCTAGAAAATTAAAAGCAAAATATAAATTCTGCCGTTGTAAAAGCATCAAAAAAAATTGGAATCTATCTTTTATTGCTCTATTTTCCCACACTTTTCTGAGCATGGTGCAGCAGTGGTACATTCTTCTACAAGAATTCACTCACTACATCAGTCAGCAGCAGAATGAAAATTGTAAGATCTGGTTCCTTCTTAGTGTTGAAAATGATTAGATGATAGCAGAGGTGGAGAACACATTCTTCTGTTTCAAAAATACATATTTTACTTACAGTGTATTATAATCTTATTCTTAAAAAATACAAAAAAAAACAAAAAACAAAAACCTTGAAATAATCTCAATGAAAGTTCACAATAAAAAATTCCAGGACCAGCAGTTAGCATACTGGCTATGTCGCTGGACTCCCATGTAGTCCACCACGATTCATATCCCGGACCCAGTGGCTTAAAACTCACGCCTGGCGCGTGTGCATGCATGCCCAAGATCCCGGGAGGAGAACGGAGGAAAAGGGATTGCAGCGTGGCCACCCCCCCAGGGGGGTGATTTCTCGCTTTCTGTCTCTCTGTCTCTGTCTCTGGCGAGCGCACGCTCCCTATAGCAAAAACCTCTCCCCCCCAAAAAAAATATTCCCATCTGTGATCCACATTGAACAGACTCTTCAAAAATATTAATAGTGGTCTATACTGCACAACATCCAATTCAACAAGAGCTAACAATTGCATTATGGAGGGACCTCTAAGTGTTATGAAAGAGAAATGCAGATTTTCTAAATTTTCTTTTTGCTCTATTAAATAAGTGCAAATCAATTAAGAAATACTTTTTCTTATTTACCATAAACTTTTGTTTGAATGTTTTGCCTTAAATTTGTTTCAGAATCTTAGTTTAGTATGCATTTTTATAAACTTACTATATATGGCACTGGTAGTTTGAGTGATGACTTTTAGTCAATATAAGCAGTATTCAAGTTACTGAGTTTTATTTTCAACCATTACACCTTCGGTATGTTATTACAAAGCTATTCTACTTTTGGGAACCAGCAGTTAGCGTAATGGCTATGTCGCTGGACTCCCACGTAGTCGACTGCGGTTCGCGTCCTGGACCCGGTGGCTGAGAACTCATGCCGGGCGGGTGGGCACACGTGCCCAAGATCCCGAGAGGAGAATGGAGAAGAAGGGACTGCAGCGTGACCATCCCCCCTGGGGGGTGATTTCTCGCTTTCTGTCTCTATGTCTCTCTGTCTGGCGAGCGCACGCGCCCTATAGCAAAAAAAAAAACCTCTCCAAAAAGTAAAATAAAATAAAAACAAAGCTATTCTACTTTTTGCAGTGTTTCTCATTAATGTTAGTACTTGTTCTTAGTAATCAAAAATTACAAATAAAACTTTCACATCATGGAGTTTAACAGTTTTTCATATTAGGCGAATTAGTAATATCAAAGATGTTATTTTGGTTAAAAGAAAATAACTGTAAAACATTAGGACATAGGTATTAACTGCAGAATTGTTGGTTGAATTTTCATTAATAATTAGAAAACTACATGGCCCAGTTCCAGTGGTACAGGCAGTACCATCTCATCTGCAGTGTGGGAAGCCACATAGCCACGAGTGCACCCTCAGTCCTGACTGGAGGGCTGGGAGAAGATTGCTGTGTGACAAAATCATGTAGGGGGCACCTTTCTCACATGCACATTCAACATGGAAATGAAATAAACTTTCGTAAAGCAATTAGGAAATGTAAAACAAAACTTGTTAATGTTGTTTGGTTGGAATGCCATGTAAACCATAAAAATAGTAGAGAACATTGCTCAAAAGACAAAATAATGTTTGATAGTATTTCCCATATCCTGAACTGTTTTCAGTTCTTTACAGAAAAAAGCCAGAAATACATATTTGCATCCTTTTATTGCACATGTCACACATCTACTGAAGTTAGTCACAACCAAGTAAATCTTTAATTAGTGTCCTAATGACAACATATTTTCTATCCTTCAAACTGGTACAGGATATTGGTTATTGAGAATATTATTTGTGGTCACAGAAATATTTTATATGAAGCCATTCTGTAATAGAACATAAATTCAATTTACATTCATCCCTAGAGCTACAGATGGCACTTGCCATCCACGCCCATTGTCTCCTAAGGATAAAGAATATTAACATGGCCATGGCCAGTATTCATTTATTTCTCCTTCAAATATCTGTTCTTTAACACATCTCTGTTTGGATGAGTGAGTTTACCAAGATAGGCTAAAACACAAAAAAATGATGAAGTCAGCAAAACCAATCATAATTTCCAAATTGGAACAAGCCCAGAAATGCAAGAGAGACCATATTACCTAAAACCAAGCATAAGTAAAACAGTCCATGGGAATAAGTGATTGCTGAAAAGAAGAGAGAGGTAAGCAGACCAAATCTTTGGAGCATGCCTACAAGATGCTTAGGAAACAAATCTGAACAGTTAGAGGACCCGATGACTTAATTGTGAAAGGAGCTTTATTTTCTCTAACTCCACTGACCCATTACTACAGATTAAAATCTTAGAGTGCAGGTTGCTGTGAAGACCAAGCAAGGAGCCTCAGAATTTGGAAGTATGATATGTTTGGATAGAAAGGAAAAGTGATGGTCTAGAGCCCATGTAACTAGAAGTATCACAGTGGAGGGCCCCCGTGGGCCTGGAGAACAGTGTCTAGTGGAACAAATGGATAGAGAATGGGAGGGTGTCACATGCCATCTCTTTAGTTCTTATTTATGACTGGGTACATTGAACTGCTAGTATCAATTGTATGCTCAAAAAAGTTCAAATGAATTCTTAATAAAATGAAGAATAGGGGGGACAGCAGTTAGTGTAATGGCTATGTTGCTGGACTCCCATGTAGTCGACCGCAGTTCCTGTCCCAGACCTGGCGGCTTAAAACTCAGGCCGGGCGCGTGTGCGTGTGTGCCCAAGATCCCAAGAGGACAAAGGAGAAGACGGGATTGTGGCATGGCCATCCCCCCTGGGGAGTGATTTCTCGCTTTCTGTCTGTCTATCTGGCGAGTGCACATGCCCTATAGCAAAAAATCCTCTCCCCCCCAAGAAAAGGAATAGGGCAAGCAGATGGTATAGGCTTTAAGGCACTGGATCCCACATGGCTGACTGTGCCATTTTAAGTCCTAACCCAGTACCCAGTGACAAAAAAAGAACAAATGTTTCATCTCTAAAATT